GTTGGTGCATATATTTGAATGATAGTGGTATTCACTGGACTTCTTTGCATGCGTATAGATATTATCCTGTCACTGACAATATTGTACTTCAAGACGGATCTAGCAATGACTTTTTTAATTATGAAAGCAACTCCATTTTTCCTCACTTTTTCATCTCCAGAGTAATATATCATATGGTCATCCGACTCCAAATGCCCCATAAAAGTTCAAGCTGAAGATGAAGAAAATTAAGTCAAATCCACAGGAACCAAAATTTGACCTTGAGTCTACTCCACTTGAATTTCAAAACCATCTCAGAAACCAGTTTGAGGCCTTAAACACCAATGAGAGAAGACCAAAAGAGCTGTGGGAGGATATCAAGGGTATCATCCAGGAAGAGTACAAAGACAGAGGAGGAAGACAAGACCAAGATGAATGTCAGATGCAAAGCAAAGGGAAAAAAACCCAAGAAATTAAGGAGCTGAACAGAAGATTTCAAAGGGCAGTGTGGGAAGACAAAGGGAAGTATTATATTAAGACCAAAGAAGTTACCTGAGTAAGGAATCATCCTGATTTTAAATTCACAGCTATGGTTCTAGCATAACCATGACTATGAATATGTGAGGGAACTCTGGGAGGCTAATGGGTAAGGAGTTGAACTGCTAACCCAACCCAAAGGCAGGTATTTTTAATCCATTAGTTGCTTTAAGGGAGAAAGACTGACAGTCTCCTGCGGTGTGGTTTCTGAAAACCTGCTGAAGGGTAAGCTATGAATGAAACCACCAAGACAAAATAAAAGATAAAGTGAATGGACAAAGTACTCTGAGCCTCTGAGGATTTAAGATTAGGATGAAAAAATGAAACTGTACATAAGAGGTGATTTTTGATTTGTTCTTAAAGGATAGTTTTATCAACATTAAACTAGAAAGAAGTAGAGCAGAATAGGATATTAAAAGTAGAACTTTCCATTTGGTGTGGCAGCTTTAGCAATGAGAAAACTCAGGCTTCAGAAGAGACTTAACTCAAGTGTCTTCCGCTGTGGCAACAAGAAAGTCTGAACCCCAATGAGACCAATGAAATTGCCAATACCAACTTTCAGCAGGAAATCCAGAAACAGATCAAAGATGGCCTGATCATCTGTAAGCCTATGAACCTTCATTCTTGAAAATATCTTAGCCTTCTGGAAGGGCAGGCATATGGGTATAGATAAGCAAAAGGTTACTGCCAATGCTAGAATGCCCGAGAAAGTGACCTAGATGGGGCAGATGAGGATTTTGCACTGGCTGCTCAGAAGATACCAAGAGTCCAAGAAGACTGATCACCACATGTATCTCAGCCTGTACCTGAAAGGAAAGAGGAATGTGTTCAAGAACAGGCAAATTCTCATGGAACACATTCACAAGCTGAAAGCAAACAGGGCCCACAAGAAGCTCCTGGCTGACCTGGCTGAGGCCTGAAGACCAAGGAGGCAAGCAAATGCCGTGAGAAGCGGCTCCAGGCCAAGAAAGAAGAAATCATCAAGACTCTGTCTAAAGAGGAAATTGTTGTCATATGCCTTCGAGTTGCCTGCGACTCATAGTGATCCTATGTACAAAAGCCCCAAACCCTGCTCTATCCTGTGCTCATCTCACTGTCTCTGACACACCTACCCTTATTACCCTACTCACTTAATCAATCCATCTCATAGAGGCTCTTCCTCTCCTGCCTGTCCTTCCAACCTCTCAAGCATGACATCCTTCTCAAGGACTGGTCCCTCCTTGCAACATGTCAGACGGAGCTTCAGGATCTTTGCCTCCAAGGAGCAGCCTGGTTTTACCCTCTCCAGGATAAACCTATTTGTTTCCTGAGCAGTCTGTGGTATAATCAATATTCTTCTCCAACACCACAGCTCAAAGGTATCAGTTCTCCTTCTATTCTCTCTAGTCACTGTCCAGCTCTCTGATGCACTGCAAGTGATTGCAAAGACCACGGCCTGTATCAGGTGCACCTTAGACTCGAGACTGACATCACTGCTCTTCAGTACTTTGGAGAAAGAGATCAAGAAATAAAACTCCTCTCCTGTCTGTCCATAGTGGCCTTGGCAGTTTATATAGATTATTCAATAAAACAAACCTTTCTATGCCTGAAAAAACAAAACAAAACAAAAGGAATAGTACATACAAAGACTGGATGTCATAAAAGACTTAAGGATATGAGATGCTGCTATAATGTCCCATGGAGTCAAAAGTGACTTCTAACTGACTCTCCAGTGAATTTTCAGAGAATGTAAATATCATAGGAGAACCCTCTTTTTTTCCGTTGGAGCAGCTGGTAGATTTGAACCACTTGCCTTTGGGTAGCAGCCTAACTCCTTACTCACTAGGCCATCATAGTTCGAAATATTTGAGTGCAATTCAAAACTCGGACTGTACTTCT